TGGGTAAACAGGAGATCAACAGATAATGCCCCAAATTCCTTGCATTCCTGAGTATGCTTAGGTAAAAGAGAATGGCTATGGATATAAAGCACAAATTAGGCTATATTTTAAATGCAAACAAATCAAATAATGCAAACTACAAATGAAAAATAAGACCCTGTAATGTAGGGAATTAGAATACTCTGGTTTGGGAAATCCCTTTTCTGTAATGTACTGGATGACCTGGGAATAGGAGAAAGAGGTCAAACTGTCACTTATCCAAATATTTAGTAACTTTCTTTAAGCCATCCTATTCGCACTCTGTTCTCAAATTGAAATAAGTGCTCTTCCTAACTTCTTTACTCTCTAATGATTCCTCAAAGAGAAAAAAAGGTAAAGTACATATTTATAAATGGTTGAATTGTATACACCATTGTTTTTGATTTCCTTTCATCCACTGAGAAAGATAGCTACTTTCACCACCATCTGTGCAAAGAAAACACACTATGAGATCTATTGCCTAATATCATATCATATTGTCATTATATAGTGAATTACCTCATGATAATTTTGTTACATAACATACGGAAACTTCCACAAATTAAGAGTGAACTTGGCACATTTGAAGAAGAACAGAAAGTAACCACAACGGATTGGGAGCCTATCATGGACTAGATACACTGTGAACAATGTGAAATGCACTGTAGGAGGAGAAGAATTTTATCCAGACTTTCTGGCTCTGAATTTGCCTTCATCTAATCTCTATCAACTATATGATTTAAAGCACATCCTTCCACCTGTTTGCCTCTGTTCCATTAGCTGTAAAACTGGATTTCCGTAAGGCTGATGAAGCCAGCCAACACACATAAGGGCAGTGCCTGACCTGGAATCCTCACCCTAGGAGGGAAAACTTATCCTTTCTAATTACACATGTATATCTGAGGAAACCAGGGCTTAAGGAGTTTAAAGAACCTGTCCAAGATGAACTAACTTGTGTGATTAAGAAGAGAGGGTGGGGGCTGTGTGTGGTGGTGACTCAGGAGACTGAGGCAGGGGGTCACAACTTCAAGTCCAGCTTCAGAAAAATTGCAAGGCCACAGGCATCTTAGTGAGACCCTGTCTTAAAAAAAAATTAAAAATGCTGGGGATGGAGCTCAGTGGTAGAGTGACTCTAGTTCAGTCCCAGGACCCAACACTGGCCCCCAATTCCCCCAAAAAAAAACAAGAGAAGAAGAAGACAATGACAACAACGAACAACAAGAGGGTGGAATTCAAACTGGGAATTCCTTAATTTCCAAGTCTGTTTGTCACTCTCCAATATGCCTTGAAGACACAAAATGGATAGACTCAAGCCAGCTAATTCCTTTTACCTCTTATCAAAACGAAACTTCTATTTTATTTTTTGCATCTGCCTAATATTCTACTATTAAAAAGAGTTTTAAACGCCTGATATGAAATAATAATTGAATGCAGTGGCAAGGCCACAGCCCACATTGGAGGCAGGAAAACTCTGCAGAGGCAGCAGGGACTGCAGCATGCCCCTGGAAATGTTGGCATGGACTAGCCACAGATGGAGGCCATCCCTCTATGCAAGGCAAGCAGTGACCCCAGGGTCAGGGACCCTGAGTATCTGGGCCACTCCACAAGGCCCACGAACCGCCACCAGGGGCGCTGTCCCGCCAGCGGCAGCCTTCAACCAGAAGGCGGGGCCTGCGCTGGGGGCGGAGAAGGGGTGGCTTGGGGTGACTGAGAGGGTACTGGCTTCCTTTGGGAAGAGGGAAACTTGCACCTTCCACAGCGCCCTTTGGCGCAGAGCAGGACTGGGCTGAAGGGAGGACACCCTGACTCAGCCCCCAGCACTGGAGCGCGTGCCCCCTGGCGGCCAACGGACAGACTCCTGGCTCTGAGCATGGGTTGCACCTAAGTCCCTGAGGACTCCTGGGTCTTGGGGTCCTGTCAGGGATCTGTCCACAGATAGGCACAGCCTGAGACTGCACCATTCATGATTCTGGGTGCCATTGCCTGCCACCGCATGCAGGCATGCTGTCTCAGCTGCTTGAAAGTGGCTGATTCGAATATTGTGCTTTTCATTTCTTATAATTCCTGCCAGACCCACAAATGCTTTTCTCTAGGGGATCCAAAAGCCTATGAAAATTCCTGTGAAAGAATGATGTTTCGGGGAGAACATATGAGCCATTCCTGTGCTGGCTCCAAATTCTTCCCAGCATGGCTTCACCTGAGTAGACCCAATGCTCAGGGCCATGGCCTGGGGTATATGGCCACGAGAGCAGGAGGCCTGTTTCCAAAGAAGCATCCTCCCTGCTTCATGGGCAGGATTAGCAGGGGGTGAGGGCATTCTGCGGTGGCAACGTCTGAATCCACTGTGTGGATTTATGGCTGACTTCAGCTACACAATCAGATTCTGAAAGTCAAGGCTAAGTCCTCCAAATCCGATCAGGCTCTTGCCCAAGTCTGGCATGGGATATATTCCAGCATGGGGCCAGGGAGGGTGAAACACCTGTGGGCTCCTTTCCCGAGCATTAGCCTGCGTGTCACAACAAAACAGGTAGGGAAACCTTGGTGACCCTCCTGGATGAGCTGAGAAATGTGTGGACTTTTCAGTGAGGCAGTTGAACCCAGGCCAGTAATCAGTCTCTCCCCAGGCAGAAATCGGTGCCATGAGATACATTTATTCCCCACTGTCCAACTGTAGCTTCCCCAAGAGGATTGGAAATGGGGTCAGGGCCTGCTTGCCTCTCAGAGGAAGTTGGTTGTGATGTAGGAAATCTGAAGTCTCCTTCCACAGCAGGGGGATGAAATTCTACAGGTATAAGTCCTTGAAGAAAGTATAGACTCCTTCTTGTGTTTGGGAGAGTTCCGTGAAGATCAGAGCCGATCAATTTTGAGTCGCTTCCCCAGGAGGGGCCACCAAAGACAAAAGTCGCCAGCTGCCCTTGTCAGCTTCAGGGTTGTATTTAGTGACAGGGATCCTGACTGAACTTCCTCCTAATCGCAGGTCCCAAAGGGGCATGAGAGGCTGGTCCAGGGCACTTTCTCCTTCCCAAAGAAACTGAGTGGGCTAGGGGATGTAATCACCTGAGGCCAGGAACTGAATGCCTGTAGCTTCAGGACACAAGAGGGCAGGATTTTCCATTCCTCTGACTTCTTAGCAGCTTCAAACTCAGGGGCCATTTCCTGTTTGCCACAGGAATGAAGCCTCAGGGTGGACCAAGCCCATCACCCTTCTGATTGGTTGCTGGTCTTCCTTGTGGCCTTCCCTTCCTAAATGCCACTCTCCAGCATCTATCTTTCCAAGAACACAGAAGCAGCCAGGGAAGCCCTGTGCTAGGAGCCAACCCCTGGGGGTGATTTGGCATGTGAGGAGTGATCTTCCAGTCTTTCCTCTGACTTTGGCTGGCAGCAGGATGAGCAGCCCCTTAGCTCTGCTTGCACCAGGAAGGTGGACCTGAGTCTCCTGGCCCGGGTGGCGAATTCTTGAAGTTCCTTGGGAGCAGGGAAAGGCCTCGGCCTCTTGGGTTGCACTAAACGGTGAACACAGGGTGCTCAGTCAACACGCATTTGGTGAGGGAGTGCCCCTGCCAGGAGTGGCCTCCTGTTCCCTTTCCATTCCTCCACACTGAGTTGTCTGTCCTTGGGCCTGCTCAGAAGCCTTGGCAATTGTATCGATGTTGCCTTCTGGGAGGCTTCTTTGCTCCTAATACTGGGGCCTGGTTTCCTCTGTGTTGAAAGAATGGGAGACAACAGTCTTGCCTTCCACTGTGCACCAAACAAACCAGAGTGGCTTGCTGCCACCCTGAAAGAAGCAATGTTGCCTCTCCCTAGAGACGTGGAGGAAGGGGCACTCATGCCCATGCTAGAGACCATGATACTGGACAGACTCTTGACCAGTTGATACCATCCTCGTTTCTTGATATATTTTGTGCATGAGTGAATTTTGAAACCCCAATATTTTCACCTATGTGAGGCACTAGGAAATAGAAGCAGAGAAATGCCAGCTCCTGGTTATTTCCTGGAGGCCCTGAGTCTCTGCCTATTGCCACTCCACCTATTTTTGTCACACAGCTCCAGAATCTCAGCAGTCCTTTCTGCTGGGGGGCAATGAAGCCACAGAGTCCTGAGACTTCTCCTGAGACCAAGTTGCATGGAATACCCCATGACCCTGGCTGTTGCCTCTTTCTCAGAATCCAGGTAGAAGTGATGTGGACCCCCTAGAGGGTAGGGAGCTATAGGACTTGGGCACAGGGCTGCTTTGGAGATTGGGAGCCTTCGTAGTGTACCCACATGATACCATGGAAGGAGACATGGGTGCTATTCAAAATCTCCCAGAAGCCACTGGCAGTTCTGGGGCAAACAAAGGCTCTCTCTGAAAATCAGTCCCTACACACCTCCAGTCGGGCACTGTCGGGCACAGTCAGAGTCAAGAGAGGAGTCCACTTGCCTCTGTCACTGTAGGACTCAGGGCATAGTAGAATTGCATGTCATCCCTGCTTCCCCTCCTTCCTGTGTTGTGTCACCTCTGTGTTTGTGCATGACAGACACATGACTCCAGCATGAGGGTTGCCCAGGTGGTTCTTGTACCCATGGGCACGTACAGGTGATGACCATGTCCAAAGCAGAGGGTGGAAGTTTCCCCAGGATACATTAGGAAACTCTGGAGAGCCTGTGAGGCCCCCTGGCTTCTTGAACTCACACCCATGGTCAGAAGGAGGCAATGAGACTGAACCCAGCTCTGTCTCCCCCAACCAGGGGAGCTGCTGGCAGGACCTGGGTCTTCCTGGGGAAGAGATCCAGGCTGTGTTGGCAGAATCTGTCCACTTGTGCATATGCCATGGGAAGATGGCAGCAGCCAGCACCCCAGGTGGTCTTTGGAACCATCTTGTGTGAAAAAGGGACTCAGGTAAGGAGTCCCAGAGGAAGTGACCTCACTTCCTTGGCCATGGAACATATAGAACTTGGAACCCTCCTAGCTAGGTCCCAACAGTCCACCTCCAGCCCCTGTCCGTTCACTTGCGTTGACAAGGCAAGCAGAGAGCCATGAGCTCTTGTGGTCCAGTCCTTGGTGGACTCCCTGGCCTCAGGAAAGCCCTTCAGAGTGGCCTTTCACGTGCGTGGAGGCGCTGGGTCAGCCGTGGGTCCAGAACACTCAGGCGATTTTTCTCAAGGACACCGGAAGTGAGACAGGACATAGCCTCGCAGGTGAGCAGAGTCTAACCCGCCTGTGTGACTCCGCTTGGGACAGCCCCAGATCCTCACCCAATGCGAGTGGGTGTGGGTGCGTGTGTTTCCCTCATTTCAACTGAGAATTAGAAGGGAAGGAAAGCCTTTGGTTCAGTTTCCACCTGACTGTAGGACAGTGAGACATTTTGCAGATGATACTGTTTCCTGGTTGAAAAGTCCCTCTTTGATCCCTGAAACTAGGGAGGTGACAAACGTTCCTCCCTGGATGTGTCCTGTCTGGTGGACAGCTTCACCTCACTAATGCGCCAGGAGTTGGAGAAGGACCTCGTGAACGTCCTACAGAGGCAGGACCCCTCCTGGGTGGAAGATTTGTTGTGCAGACGCCAAAAGGTGACCAGCATCCAGAAAGTGCTAGAGGTCCTCAGTCAAAGGTGTGTGCCACCTCCAGGGCCTGGGACATGGCGATCTCTTGGTGTGGTGGATGGGATGGCAGGCACCACTCTGGACCTCTGGCAACTCTGTGGGATGTAGGATATTCACAGGAGAACCCACCAGGGTGTTGAACCAACCAAGTAGGATGAGCCCTAGGAGTGTAGTTCCTAGGCCTTGTACTGGGCCAGGCTTCCAAGGCCTCAGGACTTCCCCTGGGGGCCTGTCCTGCCCCTGTGGGGAACTCTTCTGCCTCAGCCCAGCTGGACAGAGGCCTCAGGAAGAGCAGTTTGAACATTTGGGAAGGAGCATGTGGCTTGCATGAGGAAGGGCCCCTGACCTGCCTGGAGGCAGAGTGGGGACTGCTGGGGTGGACAGAGTGGGACCTGGTTGTGTTCATTCATGGGCCCAACAGATGTGAAGCACCTGCCCTTGGCAGGCACATGGCCTATCCATTAGGAAGCAGTGCACGCACACCTCCCAGCCCTCCTGAGCTTTCACTATTGGCAGGAAGTTAGTCAAAGCCACCAGGCATCTTGGTTCATGCAGGGCACAGGATGTAGGAGGTGACATTCTCCTGGCCTTCTCTAGGTATGAGGACCAGCAGCTATGCATGGAGGAAGTCTTCCTTCTGGGACAGAAGTGAGTGGTTTGGGGGCCACGAGAGTGGGCTTCTGACTCCAGGGTCACTTGGGGAAACTTGGCAGTGGATGGGTGGGCAAAAACTCAGGCGTCCACCTTCTGTGATTTGTGGCACACGGATGTGGTCTGGTGATTTCCCTCTGGGGTGGGCACAGATAGCTGTGGTGGGATTCTGGGTAGCTAAGGACTGCAGGAGGGGCTGGCGCCTCAGAGCCTGTCCCTGTGAGCATCCCTCCCCTCCACAGCCAATCCCAGGCATGATGGCCCTCACTTTTCTCTGTTGAGGCAAATTTGGGGAGCCCCCGATGCTCAGGAGAGGGGAGCCTCTTACCCACACATGGCCCTCACAGGATGTCCTTCTTCTCGCCCTGCTGCATGGGACTTGGCCTGTCTTTGGGAAGTCCATCATCCGGGTGGTCCAAAGGGGCTTCCAGCTCAAGGCGATGCCCAGTTGCTCATAGCTCCCTGCCCCACTCCTATGTCCCCAGCTCCATCTGCTCCACTGTCCAAATGTGGCTCTACTTGTACCCAGAAGATTTTGTGGGGTCCATGGACAGCCTGAGGAGTCTCAGGACCTTCTTGCTCCACACCATGCCGCAGTCAGGGCTGACAGTACAGGTGGAGAGGCTCCTGACAGGGCTGGAGAACACAGATCCCAGTGAGTCCCAGGCCTGTGATGAGGGGCCTCGGGTGGGTGACCGCTTGTGTGTGTCCTGGAACCTCTGCTGCTCCTACTGGGAACTGGCCTGTGGTCCCCAGCCTAATACTCCTGACCCCACCTGCAGCTGGAGGGCCCTCGTCCGGGAAGAAGTCCTGGTGTCTGGATAGGGGCTGGGCTCTTCTCACAGCCAGGGTTCTTCTGAGAATCGGGAAAGACAAAGGGAAAGGCAGTCACGTTGGGGCTCTTTTCTCTTGCAGCTGCCTCTCCAGGAAAAACCCTCAATTAAACACAGCACAACACCAGAAGCACCAGGTCACCCATCTCTCAGGCCAGCACCCACTCCACATGTCCTGGAGAGTGGACACTGCCCTAGAGCTCATGTCTCCTCTGGCCCCTCTACCTCTGTGAGCTCCTGAGGACTACTCAGTCCCAGGTCCCCACCACGCCTCTCCTCTTCCTCTCCTCTGGAATCTCCTGGATTTCTAAAATTTATTTATTTCCTTCTTGTTTCTTTATTTATTCATTTCCTTTATTTATTTATTCATTTTATTTATTCATTTTTTATTATTTATTTGTTTCTATATTTATTAATTATCTGGTTTGCTTCGAGTTTTGTTTAGTTGTTTAAGGTTCTTTCATTGTTGTTGTTATGGTTATTTTCCTATAAGTTTTTATTGTTGAGATAGGTGTGTTAAAAAGTATAGTAATAAATTTTTACATTATGTGATATCAAGTTGCCTGCTCAATCCATTCCGAAGGCTGTACCACCACCAACACTGCGTAGCTTGCATGGGAGAGACCCTAGAAGAGCACATGGGTCTTGTGGGGGAGAACACACACTGGTCATTCCGGAGGAGGTGAGATAGAGGCCCCTGAGTATGGGGGAGAGGTGACTGCCTAAAAGGTTGAGGACTCCATGCCACCAGAAGGGGCTGCTTTTCTGGGGGCAATGCCCTTAGGGCCATGGACATGGAATGTAGAATCCAACAGAAGAGATGTCTTTGCCAGTGTGGTCACACTTAGTCACCTGCTCTCCAAAGTGGAGTGGAACCCCTGCACCCTAATGGGTGGTAGGAACCCAAATGGAAATGTGATGACAAGTGGAACTCCCCTGCCAACTCTGGGTCTCAGGGTTTGGGCCCCTGTCATTGAATCCATGCCAAGACACCATGCAGAATTGGAAGAGCACACGAGTTCGTGTTCAGGAGCCACATTTTCCTCATGCAAAGCCGTGAAAACGTGATGGTTGACCTATTTCAAACAACATCTTTCTTCTAATTTTTTTCTCTGTTTTTGTTTTCTTTTGCAGTAATGTGCCAGGAAACCAGGGTGCTCTGCTACCGAGGTTCTTGGGTAGGGCTCTTTCTTTGAGCATTTTGTGAAAAACTCCCTCATTGGGAAGACTGGCACAGATTTTGAGATCCTCCTGCTTGGATCACACAGGACTCGATAGCCACAGGCCCAGTGTGAGGATAGACTGAGAGCACTGCTCCTGATGTCCACAGAGTTTCAGGGTGGAGTGTATGTGTCAAAGCCCTCGTGTAAGGAACTTACACACATGGATCCTGGTAATGTCATGCAAACAAATCCACAGAAGTCCCATGTCCAAAACACTCCCTTCAGGACCAGGCCAAGGACAGCCAGCCATAATAAACGTTGGAACTTGTCAGATTCATAGCCCTGGGTGCTGTCTCCTTGTGTCAGGGAGAGCTGCTGTGGGTGGGGCCCTCTCCTGGTACAGTGCAGCCCTTTAGATGCCTAGGAGGTGAGGATGCCCCACCACCTATCACCCCAACACCTGACCCGCAAGGAGATAACATACTTCCTAGTGCCTTAGAGACAGGTTTCCACACTCTGGATGCTGAATGTCACAGGAATGGGGGGTGGGTGACTTGCAGATGGTGTGCAGTGACCTAGGCAGTTGGTCTGAATGGGGGATCTCATCAGAGGAACACTGCAACATCACCACTAAACCTCAGAGTATCCATTTGCTTTGGCTTTTGAGCTCCTGGCTCACTTTCAAGGTGACCATCATTGTTTCAGTTGACATGATGGAGGTTCAGCAATATGGAATTCAGGGCCTTGGATCATCCTGCTTTGTGCTAGATTGGCTCCAGCTCATTAGGACCTACACCTGTGTGTGCAGTGAGCAGATGGGATGTCTAGTGCCAGCCTGCATGGAGGGCCTAGTAGAGGTGACTGGGTTGATGAGGTTGTCTCACCACAGTCATCCTCCAGTGAGGTAGCCTGTACTCAGGGACATGGCAGCAGGTGCGTTCCAGTAGTAGCTAGGTGTCCCACCCCAGAGTTCACATTCTTTCCAAAAGCTATGGGCCAGGATCCAGGTCATGCAGACACTGAAGACCCTGGGAGGACAGGATTGCAAATGGAAGGCTGCACCCTGCAATTTCAGAGACCTGGTCTCAAAATGAAGCATTAAATAGCTGTGGATGGAGCTCAGGGGCAGAGCATCCTGGGTTTAATTGTCCATATGGAAAGACAGAAAATACCCTGTGCTTCAGAACCCAGGCACATAAGTGTACTCCGCGAATGCCAAATTACTTGGGAATCTAAGGCTTTTGGACATGACAAGACCCAGGTGAGCCTGGGCAATTGTCCTTATTCTGTCTGAAAAAGAAAAAGGAAAAGTATAGAAGATGGATCTCACTACTAGAGTTGCCTTGTGTCAGAATCTTTCTATTTCTTTCAAATGAGAACACTGAAGTGCAATTTAATCTTAGAGTAAAAGTTTATATTTCTGCCATGTTAAAGAGGTTTAGCTTAAAACACACTTACCTTCGCTAACTTACAGCCTAAGACTTGAAGTCAGAAAACCAAGTGTTGGAAAAGGGCAAGTCTCAGTACTCATACACATTCCCCCCACCCCAAGGGTCCTGCTCATCAGAGAATGAACTTTCAGAAGGAAATGCCTTGTGACCAACACTGTCTGAGGCTCTCCCTGTCTAGGGCCTGCTCTTGTACTTGGGTTCACTCCCTGCTTTGACCCTGCTGATTTTTAAGAAATACCAGAGGTAAGGGAATACCAAGAGATTCCCTTTCCCTTCAGTATTCCACAGGCCTAGATGTAGGTTTCCCACTCTTGCAGCTTCTCATCAGATGATCTTTCTTGTGCATGCTTCTCCCAGTGACCACATCCTTATCTGGCCTTGCACACCAGCATGTGGAAAAGGAAATATCTACAACATGCAGAAGAAAAAGTATGCATCTGGAAGAGAGGAAGGCAGGGCTGTGGTTACTCCATTGCATAGAAATGCATTCCATATCAACTCTCTTTATACCTCCTGTCAGAAAAAAAATGATGGGGATTAGTTTTTTTTTTAATTTAAAATTTATATAGAAATGCCTCCCACAAGTGAAATCAAAAGTGAACATTTCCCAATCTTCCTCTATGTCATGAGATTCTCCGTAGAACTGAGGAGACATAGAAGCCCCCTGCAGCACTGAAGTGTTTTCCATGGTGGCCAATGGACTCCTGTATCTGACCAGAGGTTATGTCCCAGTACATCACTGAGTATGTGTGGGTCCTGGAGCCCTGTGTTGGGTCTGTCCATAAGTTTGCACACATGTGAACCACACCATTCATGGTTGTTCTTTTGTCCACTTCCACATGCAGGCATTCTGTCTCACATGTTTCGAAGTGGGTGATTGGAATATTGTACTTTTCATTCCTTGAAATTCCTTCAAGACCCACAAATGCTTTCCTATAGGGGAATCAAAAGCCTTTTAAAATTTGTATTAAAGTATGACATTTGGGGAAAACTTATGAGCCTCTACAGTTCCTATGTAAGTTGTTCTACCTTTCATAAGTAATTGATCTCTTTTCACAATACTAGTGAATGTGGCCTGATGCTCTCATACAATTTAATGTTTTCTTCCACAGAGCTAGACCCCTTTGCCTCTCTCTCTCTCTTTTGCTTTCTCTCTCCCTCCCTCCCTCCCTCTCTCTCTCTCTCTCTCTCTCT